AAAAAAAAAAAAAAAAAGCAAAATATTATAAATTTATTATTTTTATATACAAAAATTTTATTGCTAGCAGATCTTATACTGAAAAAAAATAATCACTTTATTGGGTACATTTAAAATGGTAATACTATGTATCAGAAAAAAAAAAAAAAAACGTGTGAAATTAACTGAAATGGTTGTATACAAAGGCAGCCGATGTGTTCAACTTGGGTGAACCTCAACAAATATATTGTAGCCACCTAACGAGGGTCTGTATTTGTATAGTCAAATAGATGATAATGAAGTAGCATAATCATCCGAAAAATCATTTCAAACTGACATTGTGAAAACAAATTTTGTATGATACAGATGAAAGGCAAAATATTGTTGACGATACTGTATGTGGTGGTTAAGGAATTTTCCTGTGTAAACAATTACAAAAATTAAACTACTCAATCCGACATTTTGCTATCATTAGAAAAATTTTCTTACAAACCACTATGTAAACATACACGACTAAGACAATAATTTTTGAGAAACTTTTTTTTTTGATTGAACTGCAGTACGTAGTACAACTGTGAAAGAATAGGTCTCAAAAATCACAGGAAAAAATTTCATGTGTAAAAAATGTTAAAATTTTGATTTAAGAAAAGAAAGGAAAAACAATAATAATTAATAAAAAAATCTTCTTTATACTGTGAAAGAAGATTCGATTATTTTAATGGTTTCTATTATGCAGATTTCTTAGATCTTCGATGAAATTTATCAGTAATGTTTTGGTGTTAGCATTGAGAACTAAAAACTTAAGGCATAGCTAACTAGATTGCATTAAAATAGTTCACCAAAACATTAAGCAGAGCTCATTAAGCAGAGCTTTTGATTATAGAACAGAAAAGAATAGCGGTCAAAATAGTAGTTAGGTAGTTTTTTTGTTTCAACAAAAAAAAATTTTTTTGGCAATTCTGTGTTCAGTTTTTCTTCTTCTCTTCTCGCTTGTTCGCCTAAATGTAAATTTAAGTTTATTATAAGCATCAACTATCAAATAGACTAAAGTTGTCATAGTTGTTTTTTCCTTGTTGCAAAAATTCTCTTTTTAATTGTCAAAAAATATTGCACCCAGAAAACTAGGCGGTGTTATTTTGTTGTAAAAAAATAGATGAATAAATAAATAAGTGGATGAATAAATAAATAAATGAAGTTTTTTTTTCTACTGCAGCACATTAAGGAATCTGAGAATGGTGATTGATAAGAGCATTTGTAAAGAAAAAAGCACAGCTTTTTTTCCGATATTATTGTTGCGTTTTTAGCTATTGATTCTCTATCAAAAAAAAAAAAAA